TGATTGTGACTGTACGATCTCATCGGTATTTTACTGTAAAAATGTGTTTATCCTGAATAATGCGAGGAGGACGTTGTTCATCGTTTGGAAAAATGTGCTCGTAAATTTTGGTTAGTTCGGTATTTCGATACTGTTTGATCGTGAAATTTTGCACACGTAATAACGGATAATTTTGTCTTTTTTAGCGATAAACATTGAGAAACAACAGAAAGGGAAAAGAGTGCAATATGAGTGGAAATGGCGAAATATCGGATACTATAGGTTATGACACAGCTGTGGATGGTAAGTCCACCATTTACTCTTATTTATTTTATTTTTGGGTCGTATCTTTCGTTTCTCGTATTGTTATGAAAATTATACATTTGACGTATTCAGCTAGACAAATTAGCTGTTACGTGAGTAATGTTTCTTGTTACTCCGGTAGATTTGATATTTTTGTCAAACGGTATTTATAACCTTCCAGTTAGTTCATACGCTACTCGATGACAGTATAAACCAACTACTCGTGTTTGACATTTCAAAATGTTCAAAGTGTTCAAAGTGTTGATCGAATGAAAATGATGTATGTAAGTTGTAACTGAACGCACAAGTGCAGCGTTAAATTGCCCAGTGAGGAAACTCGGACAAGTTAAAAATATACGTGCCCCAAGTAGAAAATGCAATTGTTGTAACTAGAAGCGTTATAACGGTAGGTCCTATTCCAGCTATCGCGATATCTCTAGTTTTTATGTGACCTGCTGCGGTAGCGATTGCATTTGGCGGTGTGCCTACTGGCAAGTGAAACGAGAAAGAGCAACACAGAGAAGCTGGCATCATCAAGAAGAGTGGATGTATCCGTAAAGCGACGCACTGAAACGATCATCATATGGTAAGTATAGTACGTATCAGTGATCAGTGTAGGCATTAGTTTCTCAAACAAGATGCAAACATGAATTGGAAAATGAAGGGAAATAAATGTCCTTTGGAGGACATCTGCTTACCATCTCTGCCAAAACTGGCAAGATAATGTTTGCAACTGCGACGTTAGATGTCAGTTCTGTCACAGTTTCCGCAAACACACATACAATGACCAATATTGCAAATGGATGTATTAATTTTAAAGCAACAAGAGCATTTCCAACGATAGAGGAAAGGTTGGAACTGGTGCTTCCAGCTGAAATGGCAAATCCACCACCCAAAACTAGGATCAAACTCCAATGCATCTTCTGATTGATCATTTTCCAACTAATCATGCCCGGCGACGGTTTGGTTGGACGATTAATCGGATCCGAGTCAAACGCTCGGAGGAAATCTAGTTTGGACGGCAGTACAAAGAAAAGAATGGTGACGCAAGCGGCCGCTGTCGAATCTTTCACGTGTCTGCAAAGAACTACGTTTGTTGCGCACATTTTGTTTCCCCTTGAGCAGAAGGGAGGCAAAGAAGGGCAAAGAAGAAGAAGAAGAAGAAGAAGAAGAAGAAGAAGCAAAGGAAGATGGAAGAATAACAGTAATTATTAACTTCTCAACGAGCTCAACAGCTCAACAGCTCTGGTACAGTTAGCCCCTGCGGTTCTACATGCACGGACGGTAATTGACAATCACACGACACAGGCTTGGAAAGATAGGAAATAAAATTCTACGTATGACGTGCGAAATCGTTGAGAAATTAATGAATTGGAAAAGAAGAAAAAAAAAAAAGAGAAAGAAGGATACCTACAAATTGGTAAGATAACTTGGCCAGCCGTCTATGAATCCAGGATTTCTAAAGAACCACAGGAGTACAACTGTAAAGAAAAGAATGCCAACAGCGGACTCGTGCCACGTAATTGGACCGAGTTCCTTGTATTTTTTCTCAATCACAGTTGCTGCAACTTTCTCTCCTTGCAGCCCAATATTAATGGCTCGTGCATCTTTGCTGTCCGGTCTGAACATTCCCATGTACATAACTTGAAGCCAAAGCCACGTGAGGAAACCCATGAGAAGCATCGGTGGAACAGAGTAAAGCATCCAAGATGCCAGACTGATACCCGAACTGTTTGGGAATCGCCTGCAACATAAATGAACGATTCTCTCTCTCTCTGTCGTTACACTTGATCGTTTCGTAGTTTACGAACGGTTTGATCGACAGATGAATAGACAAATCGATGGCGTGTCGTTCGTCGAATGCGCTTACTTCTCAAAGAATCCTTTTAACGTCAAGTTGGTGCCTGTCCCGACCAACGTGCCAATGCCACCCAGACTAGAAGCGTATGCCGTCACGAGATAATAAACCATGGTGGTATGAGTCGGTTTCTTTGTCCTATGATTATTACAGAAATAATTATTAGCTGGACTATCTACGGTAATTGGCGGAGAAACGTAATTTCTTTTTTTTTCTTCTTCTTTTTCCTTTGCTTTTTCCTTCTTTCAAGCGCATCAACAACTTTGTTGATCCCTTCTTCTCTAAAGACTACGATTTCTAAATAAAGACTTTTGTCAAAAGTGCGTTTGCGTTGGTCGCATACAGCGCGATATTTTCTTTTCGAGTATGAATATATATATATATATATATATATATATATATAAAACAATAAAATGCAACCATCCCGTCAGTAACATAATTGACGCGATCGTCTAATTGATGACAAATTGATGAGTTTATGAGTACGTACGGTTCGGCTGTTCCCTCTTCGCCGCAGCTGTTCTCCTCCTGATCGAACATGTTACCCAAACCTTGCTGTGAAAGTGCAAAGGAAAGGGCATGAAATTCATCGAATGAGTGGAAAGTCGAAATATTACGATTTGAGCGAATATTTAATCGCTTACTTACTGCTTCGAGCTCCAACAGAACGGTCTCGACTATGGGTAACATCATGGTGGTAGCAGCGGTATTTGAAATCCACATGGAGAGAAACATGGTCACGCAGAACAAGCCCAACGTTAGCCTAGACATTGTACGATATGCACGTTTTACATAATATGTAACATAATATCTATCCGTGGCTACGCGGCTATTAAAATTCTACCGATTCGATTTCATTATCTAAACTGTGATAATTGAATCTACGAAGCGAGCAATCAACCGTTCGTTCAGAGCGACGCAGTCGTGCAAAATGGTGCAGAATTCAGAATTCAGTGCGAATGAACAAAATGAAATGCGATTGGAAAAATTATTTTTCTACCTTTTCTGACTGGACGAGAAACTGATAAATTGGCAGTTATTTGTCAGTTAAAGTTTGAATACACAAATGTATCGTGGTAGTGTGAGAAACCGATGCGATGGTGAATAGACGTTTTCGCAATTTATTTCTATTTATTTTCTAGCGATAGTATAAAAGGAATGAAATTGTCGGGCAAGTGAAAGACTCGATATCTTTTTATTATTATAGAGTTTAGAGTTAGTACCTTCGATGGCTGCAGCCGATCACTTTGATGATTAATAGCGCGATGCGCATATGCAGGCCGGAGTTTTCGATAACGATTGCAATCACCATGCTACCGATAAACATCATCGTAGTGTCGTTCATGTAACAGGTGCAGGTGTCGGCGGTATTCATTATGCCCATCAGTGGATAGAGGACGACAGGAATTAAACCTGTGATTGGTAAGGGGAGCACCTCGGTCATCCAAAACATTGCCATCAAACCAACCACGTACAAGCATCGCGTCGCTATTACCTGTGATCGATCGAAATCGCGTGATCATTCTCGTTTTACAAATGGACAGACAGAATGAAAAAAAAATGCAAACGCAGAACAAGAACGGATAGGATGGAAAGAAGCTTCAGATTTTCGTCTCGAAATCCACGAAACACTTGTATTTCCATTGTTTCGCTGTTTGTTTGTCGGTACACGCGTACATATATGTACGTATAAATGTGTCTTCTTTTAACAAGGTGTACAAGGTGTTTTTATTTACCATAAATGGAGAAAAGTAGGATGTAACACGTAACACGAGAATAACTTGCCAATGAGAACAGAGAGAGAGAGAGAGAGAGAGAGAAAGTAAGAAGTAACAATAGAAAGAAATTGTGGAACAAAGGCACAGAAGAAGAGCAAGAAAGAAAAAGATCGGACACTGCTCGCACAAATATCAAAGAAACGCATAGGTTTAAAATTTGTGGAATCTATCGTGTTTT